ATATAATATAATATAATCTATCACATTAAGGCTGAGTATAGATTGAATCATTGCGGGACTCAAAGTGACCCTTAATTTGAGAATGAACATGGTGAATTCTAACCATTCTCTGCTTTTATTTCGATAAGATTGGCCTCAGAATCTCATTCTTCTAACTTTTTATTCAAACCAATGTTAAATCCATCCTGGGCTTTTCTGCTCAGAATGCTTCTTATCGAAATGCATACTTCATCCTCTTCCTTTTCTGTATCACCTAGCCTGTATCTCAGAATCCTGAAAATACTGATATTTTGTTTATCCTAAGAAAGGTAAATACTTTTTTGAGACTTCCCCCTGCTCCGCTGCTATCGAATTTATCTGCCAACTAGCGATAATCCGGCGTCCTTATGAAAAATGGGGTTTTTAGGGTACTTTCAACCTCATTTGGAGTATCACAGTTTCTTATACATAAAATTATCAATCATGGGAAGAAAATTCAACTCCATTTACGAGCTGTTTGGAAATTGAATGAAATATGGGGGAGGTTTGCTTGCGTTATTTGGCTGGATTCTTTGTAGTCGTGAGTCGCCATGGCACAAAACTATCCTATTAACTAACTCAGTTGGCCTTGAGTGTAACCGCTTTGCTATGTTTTATAAGACCGCTGAGCATGCTAAGCACATCCATGGAAAAATTATTTCTTAGGGGTCTTCATTTATCCAAGTTCTCCTTTGATTCCTCTGTAATACGCTATAATGTCAGTTGTTTATGGCCATTGTCTTCTGTTCTTCACTCGGTTTTCCTGCATTGCTCGTTTGATCACTATTTTCAACACTTCACAGTACATACTCAGTTTTATCTCTTGTATTTGTTGTTTTTGTACATTCCGAAACTCCTTGGCTAAAAGTAAATTCTACATTGTCAAAACAGATTTCTGGCCAGATTACGCCTCGTTCTGTCTAGCTCGGGCTGCAAACCTAATTTGACATATTATTATTGCAACGAATTCTCGTGTCTGGGTCTAGTATGCAACTTTAGCTTGTTCATTCAGTTTGTTTTCACACAGAGGGCACGCCCGAATCTCTTCCATTTACGTCATGAATTAACTGATTTATTTCTCGGAAATAATTATAATACTGGCGATTTCGCCAATCATAAACTAGTTGGTTGGAATTTTCAGTCAAAATTCCACATAAGACGTCCCATATTTTTTTCATTAGGAAATTCCTTCCTGTTCCAAAATCAGTTCATCAAATTACGATTCCATCATGGCCAGACATCCACCTGCAGTTTATTCTTTTTCGGAGACTAGTTTGCGAGGTCTTTTACTGATTAAGCACATCTGAAAAACAATTCTTGATTACGTGTAATAGAATATAAGATTTATTAATTAA